TACCCTCAAAAATGTCTCCACATAAACGCTTTATTTCAAATGTTACTTTTTTCTTTTGTTCTCCAATTATGCCTTTTAACGTCGTCGTAGATGCAAACGTCCTTCTAGGACAAGATTTGACATTTCAACAGTTGTTAGCTTCATGTTTTTAGCTGTTTCCTTGACACCATCGTCGAAAACTTTCTTGGTCTTTCTCTGTTTCATGTTTGTTGTAAAATATATGCTATTACCAGTAGCTGCTCTGGACTCATTCGCACTAAGTAGTTGAACCATTTCAATCTCTTCTTTTCTATATGTTTCAGAACTGATCTCACTCCAAGCTCTTTTCTGATTGTTTCGTTTCTTGTTTTACCTAGTCTGGTCTTGTTTGTGGTATTAAGTTAACTAAACAACATACTCTTAAACTGCCTAAAAACATTCAAATGTAAAGTATGCAATACCTTTACTATAGCATGTTCTCGAACAACAAAGATTACTGCCATTATTCAATCGAAAGCTTATGAAGCAAATCTAAAACCTTATTACATTTTTTATGCTGTTTGCTTTACAGTTATCTGCATGTCCTGTAATTACAGTTATTGGGCAATAAACGAATGAATTCTTATTAGTTACATTCATATCTCTTTACCAACAATCGCTGATTTAAAATTTTCAAAGAACCTGAGCAGAACCAACAGTTTCAAGCGTTTGACAATCTGACTCAGAATTGGTCTGACTGATTTCGGATCTAGATGTGTAGTGAATAAAACAATAATCTTGTCATTTACCTGAACTAACGCTTGATAATAATTGCCCTAAGTTTCGTTATGTTCTATATTAATTCACTTTGTGTTTGTTAGTCCGCGAACTCCTCACACTGTTGTGGAATTTGGCAGGTGTACTCAGGATGGCCCGAGGGGTGTCTTTATCTATATAGCATAGCTCTCTACCAAAAGGGTTAAATCGCACCCTGAATGTTACTCAGGTATTATTACGGTCTAGGGCAGTGTTTCAGGGCCTCTGAACCCAAATCTGACATCGGATTGTGTTCCTGAACCCCCTCGGAATCCCGGGGGAGGACGCCATGTTTGAAATTGTGTTCATACCGTCACTCGCACGCTAGTAGGACCAAACGTGGCACACGTGCTCAGGTACCATGAGCGAGTGACCTAAAGGGGTTTGTTTTTGAGTACGGACCCTCTTGGTGTAGCAATAGAAGTAACTGGGATAATGAAGGTGTTTGATCGGTACATTGGGGCCTCTGTGAATCACGAGAGGGTTATTCGAACTCCGCAGCGAACACGGGTATTTTATAGTTGTTTCCATATAAAGCAACTTAGCATATATATATATCACCATTTGCAATTACTTTTGCGCTTACTAGTTCTTGTGTAGCTCAGGTAGACAGGATGATGTTTCAAAAGCCTTCCGTCTTTCTTCTTCGCGAAAGGCTGTCGAAATATCTTCCTTTCTACCTTAGCTACTTTTGTGGATTAGATCTTTTACATAATCTCTACAAGCGTCTTTCTGAACGAGGCAGTTACTGACTATTTCACTTTTGTTTATCATGAATATTCCGCCTAAATCATATATGAAAGAACGTTTATTGTGTTTCTTTAACGTGTTTTATATTAATTTCTTTTATGAAATAGCCATCATACCGTTTTCTCATCATCAGATTAGTAACCCAAATCACTAAATATTAAAAAAGGTATGTTTTGAAATTTATTTAACATATCTGTTATATATTTAAGAGCATGTTTATTGGTGAAGAAATATATTAGATACAAATACTAACGAGATGGTTAATTAAATGCACATATCTAATAAATTTCACCATAAAATTTGTCTCTTGAATCGTTGTTTTCTGCTTGTAAGAAAATATTAGAACCATACTATTCTTTGTTTTTTTATATAATATATGAGAAGATTAATTATAAATCTTAAATTATTGTAAAAAGTACTATAGATTTCCAGTATTACTTTGATTGACAAGGTTTCAGACATGTTACATAAAGACGCTGTATGAACTTGAAATGATTGTGTTTTTTAAATATTACATTTTGCGCTAAAACTACTTGTAGTGTTACATAATTTTGTGCCCCCCCGGTGGGACGGCGGTAAGTTTAGGAACTTACAAAGTTAAAATTTGGGGTTCGATTCTCACGCGATGAACACAGCAGATAGTCCAATGTGGCTTTGCTTTATTACAAACAAACAAACATAATTACATCTGGTGAAATATTAAACTGTGTCGATTCGTGATGTAATATTAAGCTTGAGATAGTTTAGGAAGGCTAAGTTGTACTTTTAGTATTGTCACGTGTAAATAACTTTTATAGAACCAAGAGCGAGTAGACATTTTAATATAACCTCCGCGTTTAGTGAATTTATTTGTTGAAATAATATAAATCAAAACAAGAAACAACGAAGAGCTCTAAATATAACTTTTAAATTACCTTCTATTGGTTCAAATTCTTGCGTTAAGATTACGTAGACAATAAATATTAATAAAAGCATAACTATGTTATAATTTTATATTTCTATATACAAATTACTACTGAGATAGCGAAACGATTCATAGGTAAACTTCGAACCGAGTAATGGTAACATCCATCAACAACGTATATGTATATTCTACATTGTATAATCTACAAAAACTTTGGGTAAAAGTTACGCTTTAACCTCATAATTAAGAACTCCGAAATGCAAAAGCTATAAGTTTTTGTTTCATGGTCTTTATTTATTATTTTATATTTGTTATTTTTTTCACTGTAAAATCTGTATATAATTCTTACTACGCTTGTACGTAGCACGACACTAACTTATTACATGATGCTGGAAAAGCTTACCATGTTTGGCAGACAAAAAATTATATTTATCATGAATTAACTTCTGAATTAGTAACATTAAATGATAAAAAAACATTTTTTTAAATATATACATACATGCATATTCCTAGTTATTGTTAATTGACAGTGTACATTAATTACGTTGATACAGTAGAATATGGAGAGGTATGTCTACAGACTTACAACGCTAGAATCCGGGTTTCGATACCCGTGGTGGGCAGAGCACAGATAGCCCATTGTGTAGCTTTGCACTTAATTACAAACAAACTCTCTTTTTATTTTTAATCATGGTGCAATAGTTTAGTTTATAGTAGAATAATAAGAAGCCATAGTTTTACTTGAATATTTTACTTACTGAAAGTCCCGTGGTAGCAAAGCATTACTAGGTTTAAGTTAAATTTATCAGACTTAACGCTTGTGTGTTTGTGCTTAACCCCAAGATACACAGTGTGGCATCTGTAATCTGTCTACGCAAGAAAAGAAACCCCGGATTTTAGTGTTGTAAGCTCGTAAACATACCATTAATCTATCACGTAACCAGATTTAAGGAAACTAAATTATGCTACGTATTAAAACAAATGTAGTTTTAATGTGTTAAAACTTGAAAATTTAAAATTGGTAGAAAACACGATGCAAGGAAATGAAAAAAACTCAATGTCCCGGGGTAGTGGTCATTTGGTTAAAACTTTATTTTTTTATTTCACTTGTTCTTTTTTACAGCACGTTTAAACGCATTCAGATAAATAATAAACGTTTTCTAAACTTTACATGTTTCTACTTAGTTTTGGTAATTATAATAATATAACGTTTTTCAGGCTACAAATGCTGACTGTAATAGTTGTTATTGAAAATCCTTTGTTATGAACATGCTATCTAAATTTTTTACTTCAGTTGCTTATGATATATTTTAATAGATTGAAAATCCCAAAGTTCTGTGTGTTAGGTCCATAAATACTTTAATGGATCTTACAGTTGAAGTGATTTGATATTTTACATTCAAACTGAAAAAAACAAAAACGCTTTTGTTTAATGGTAACTTAAAAAATAAATTATATTTTGACCATTCTGTATCAAAAAATTCTTAATTTTTTTTTATTCTTCCTGAAAATAAATATTTAGTTTTCAGTGTACTTAAAAGGAGTTATAACATTAACATACGTCTTCTTAGTTAGTTTTGGGCAACAGTTAACATACTTTATACGCTGTACTGAGAACCTTAAAAACAGAACATGAAAACACATAACACTCCATGCAGTTAGAATGGTAAACTCATTAGTAAATATTTGATACAGTTTAAACATCAATCCTGGGTGTTAGGCATTGTGATATATTTTAGGATTGAACAAACAAAATACACATAATTAGCTTAGGCGAGTGTAGAGAAAGGCCGTTTCTTTACCACCAGCCACCGTAGCTGCCATAACTGTAAACTCCATGACCACCATGACCGCCATAGTTGTAACCTCCATGGTAATATCTGAAAATGCACAAATGTTTTAAGTATCAAAAGGAAAAATATATATATACAAAAAAAATACCTGTAGAATTGACATAATGGTATCTATATATATATATATGTATGTATATATATATATGTATGTATGTATATATATATATATATATATATATATATATATATATATATATATAGTATATATATA